GGTTAGACCTCATTGCCCCTGAAGGTAACGTATAACTCACCTGTCTCCCTCTTTTTCTTTCTCTCTTGCAATAGAATGTGACACAGAAACAAAGAAGGTGCAAGAAGTGCTCTCTGGGATTGAGAAACCACAGGTATGTGACAGACAACCTTAATCCAAAGAAGCAACATTAACAATTAGTTCTATATTATGTCAAACTATTATAAGAACCAGTACATTTTATTTGCATTTTATTTCATTGGTCTTATCATTATAAATACTAGGTTTCTAGTATACTACCATGTTTTCCCAAAATTAAGACAGGGTCTTATTTTCTTTTGACCCCCCGATATAAGCGCTTGGCCTTATTTTTGGGGAGATCTTATTATTTTTGAGGTGCAGGAGGCGGCAAGGATGGTCACCTCATGGCTGCTGCTGCGTTGCAATATTTTCTGGGAAGGCTTATTTTACCGCATGCACGCAAAAGCCCGATTGGGCTTATTATCTGGGGAGGTCTTATTTTCGGGAAAACAGGGTAGTCAATGAGAATTACATGCCATACTATGAATTATAACATATATTTGTTTTGGTCTGGCTTCACATATGCTAAGCGATCTCTTCTTTCCTCACCCTGTTTTAGTTTAGCACATCAAAAGAACTGAGTTAGTTGATGAAGTGCTTCAGATCTTATTCCCAGGGACTTCTCTGCAACTCTTTAAAGCAGCTTTGTCTTTTCCAAGAACCACACAGTTACTTTTAAGAGTTTTAATATCACATTAGCTCCCTGCAAGCTTTAGAAACTGCCCCAGAGGTGGGTTGCTCTCAGTTAATGGAATTCAGACCTGGGGCGCAGAATCAGCAGCAGCCCAGGCCTGCCACAGCCCCGAATCGGTTCCCTTGCCATTGCTGGGCTGCCGCCATTTTGGTTTTCAGTGACTGCACGTGTGCCGTTCACTGTAAATTGTTCTGCACACGAATGAAGAACAATTTACATTGAACAGCGCATGCCCATGCAGCGCACGTCTGGCGTGCGCGCAGGTTGTGAACCAGTAATAAAACCGACAGGAACCCACCTCTGAACTGCCCTAAAGGTGCTTTTTCAGGAGGCAACTGGACTTTGTTTTTTCTTTGAAGATGCTTTGCTTCTCATCCAAGAAGCTTCTTCAGAGCTTCAGAGCTACCCTAGCTGTTAAACATGACTGTATCTTCCATCTCATTACCCATATTTTGCACATGTGAACTCAGAGCAAATGCCTTTTAATAATTAAACAGAATTTTAAACCAACAAACAGCCCTGTTTTCAAATTTCTGGTCCATGGTGGCTGATCCAGCATTGCTACAACCTGCTGAAGTATGGAAGAGCATGTAATTAATGAATTAGGTAGAGAGTGTGTAATAGCTCTCACCGACCAGCTCCAGTGGTACTTCGGAATAGTTTTCTCTGCTTCTGAACTCATGTGTGACTTCTGGTTGTTTTTCAAAAAAATACCCATTTAAAACCCTGACCCCATCCAAAAAGTGGGTTGCAACTCAAAGCAGCAAAGACCAAAAAGGTAGTCCTAGAATTATTTTTGCTAGTTTCGCTCAGCTCAACAACTATTACAATGCTAAGCTGACATCACCCTGATTCCTTATCTGAAACTGTTTATTGCTACAGCCACTGCTACAGTCAGATTGAGAGTCATATGCCTTTTCAAAACAAGCGGATGTATAGAAACAGATCCCTTAAATAAATAAAACATTATCTCCAGCGTTCCTTCTAGCTTTCTTTTCACGTGTGGGGTGTTCAAAGATCATGTAGGACAGCGGTAGTCAACCTGGTCCCTACGGCCTACTAGTAGGCGTTCCAGCTTTCATGGTGGGCGGTAGGGGTTTTGTCCGATACTGAAGCACTTTCTTTTTTTAAAATTTAATTGACTTTTTTAAAAAAATTCATAGCATTATTTAAGAACATTTTCATTAGGTTTTCATAAAATCACTATTACTGTGGAACCGGTGGGCAGTTAGAA